AGAGAGAGAGAGAGAGAGAGAGAGAGAGAGAGAGAAGGAGACAGGGAATTTGAGAATGGTCTGACCTTGCTAGGACAACGCGGCCATCGGGATACTGCACACTTGTTGGGTTTCCACAGAAGGGGAATGCAGAGTCTGGGCTGGAGACAGAGGTTGCTGGGGTTTGCAAGCCTAGCCTCCGTCCGTGCCCAGCTGTGCAGCCTGAGGCGAAGCGCTACCATCTCTGAACCCCGAGGCACTGAGAGCAGACAGAAGGCCGGGCCTGGTGCGGTAGGCAGCGCTGTGGGCGGACCCCGCCGGCTTCAGCACCACGGACAGGGCTCGGCCGGCCTCTCCGTGGGGGGCCTCTGGGAGCCTGCGGGAAGGCTGGGAGGCCCAGACGCTGCCCCCCAAATCCTTCCCTCCCAGACTCCACCTGCAACCCTGTCCCGGGGATGTTTTGAAATAGGGGCGTGGTGCGAGGGCTGCTTTGTGAGTGACACCCTAATTTCTCTTCTGTGCCTGCCTCCTGAGCCCAGGCAAGCTGTGAGAGTCCACGGGTAGGAAGCCTCAGGGAGGCCGCCACCCTAAGATATTCAGTCCTCTGGGCAGGGCAGTGCTGTGCCCACCCCACCCCACCCTGCACCTGCAGTGGCTGGAGCTCCCAGTAGGCGCTCAGTGCTGGCCCACTTTGTGCTTTGAACCACAGCCCTGGTGGAGGCTGGATCCAGCCCGTGGGCACAGGCAGCAGCTGCATCAGGCTGGGAGAAGCCAGGGGAGGGGTGCGGCAGGCAGGGGTGAGGCCCCTTCCTCCGGCTGGGACTTGGCTGCTCCTCAAATATCCCAGAAACCAAGAATAGAATCTTGGTGACGATCAAATCCTGGAATTGCAGCTGAGAATCGTGTCAGTCATCAAACCCAGATGAAAGCGTGTCTTGGCAGTGCGTCTTGTACCCAGACTGGGGACCCTGGGGCAGAAGGACCCGGACTGCCTGCTGCCTGTGTGAGCCCCGGTATGCTAGGGAAGGCTGGCTCCAAACAAGGGATTTCAGTCCTGCCTGTTAAGCTCAATAATAATACTAGCAACAGCTAAAATGCACTTCTTCACGGCAGGCAGTTCCAAGCATTTTATATATTTATTGGCGCATCTATCCCTTCCAAGCCTCTGATGCTGTCCCCATGTGACCCACAAAGGAAGGGAGGCCCAGAGAAGTTGATCTGCATGCCCAGGGTGACACAGCAAGGGGCAGTCAGACAGGCAAATCTGGGTCTGAATTTAATTTGATGCCTGGGTTCTGAAGGCAGGTGGCCCTGGGTTCGAATCCAGCCTTAGTGTTTTGTCTATCTGTCTGTCTGTGTCTGTGTCTGTCTGTCTGTCTCTCTCTCTCTCTCTCTCTCTCTCTCTCTCTCTCTCTCTCTCTTCTCCCCCTCCCCTTACCCCTGGTTTCTGAAACATGGAGTGGAGGGATTTAGCCCTGAGACCTTGGGCACCTGGGAGGCTCTTCTATGACTCATCCTTCCTCACTCCGAATTTCTTCCAGCTGCAGGATGGGGGCCACATCTGCCTGGGCCTTGGGCCTCCTGGTGCTACCAGTACTGCTGTTGGTGGCTGGGGACCAGGGTGAGTTGATTTGGGGGGAGGCGCTTTTCATGCTGCAGCTACTTCTGGGGAGCCAGGGGGTAATAAAATGGGGATTTTTTCATCCCAGTGCTTTCTCCTGCTGGTCCTCTGCCTCAGTGTAGAGAATGAGACAACAATAGATGAAAAAGGCCTTTGAACAGTCAGAGAAGAACAAGATACCGGAGAGGGTATTTTTAGGCATTACCCGCAGAAACTGGAGGTTCCCACCGCTCACTGTTTTGCTGAAATGAACTAAAAAGAGAAAGGGGAACAGTGCAGAGATTGATTAGTGATGCCTGCCATGGGTGGGGCAATGGACATGGGGATCTGTGTCCCTCTTCTCCACTCCGAGGGGCTTGAGAAATTCCTCTGGGTGACTGCGGACACATTCAGGTACCTCTCTGAGCCTTAGTTTCCTCCATCGCCCCAAAAGAAGACAGACATTGCTGGGGCTGGGGGAGATGGCTCAGTAGAATAAGCACTTGCCTGGCAAGTGCAAAGTCCTGAGTATGATCTTTGGTACAAAAAAAAAAAAAAAAAAAAAAGGATTCTGAATGTGCCACTTACCTTCACACGGCGGCCTGCTACTTAGCTCCTGAGGGAGCTTGGGCCCAGAGAAGGACGGTGACTTTCATGGTCACACAGAAGTCAGCAATGGATCAGATCATGTCATTCTTGGCCAAGTGCACAGGGACATGCCTTTAATCCAAGCACTATGGGATCATGGTGTCCCCTGCTGGTGGCTGCTTCTGAATCAAGCCTCTGCCTTCTCCACCCAGGGACACAGGACGCCATCATGGCCACAACTGAGAAGGGGCTGCGCCTGCAGAAGGTGGGCTCAGGTTCAGTGCGGGCTGCGCTGGCAGAGCTGGTGGCCCTGCCCTGTCTCTTCACCTTGCAGCCGTGGGCGGGAGCAGCCCGGGACAGCGCCCGGGTCAAGTGGACCAAGGTGCGCACTGCGTCGGGCCAGCGACAGGATGTGCCCATCTTGGTGGCCAAAGACAACGTGGTGCGGGTGGCCAAGGGCTGGCAAGGACGTGTGTCACTGCCTGCCTACCCCCAACACCGAGCCAACGCCACACTGCTGCTGGGGCCACTGCGGGCCAGCGACTCTGGACTGTACCGCTGCCAGGTGGTGAGAGGCATCGAGGATGAACAGGACCTACTGCCTCTGGAGGTGACAGGTCAGTTGGGGGGTGGGCGGGCCATGGCTGGGAGGGTGATGCTCCCAGCCCCCCACAGAGTGTCCCCTTACAAATACTCCCTCTAGCCAGGCTCACAGGGCACACCTCTTGTCCCCAAATGCTGGGAGGCTGAGACAGGAGGAGCGAAAGTTCCAGTGCAGGGTGGGCAGGTAGCAACACCCTTTCTCAAGATCTAAAAATTTAGCCAGGTGCGGTGGCACACACATGTAATCCCAGCTCTTGGGAAGCTGAGGCAAGAGGTTTGCCACAGTTCAAGGCCAGCCTGGGCTGCATAGTGAGTTTAAAAGGCCAGTCTGAACTGTATAGCGAAACCCTGTCTCAGAGAGAGGGAGAGAGAGGGAGGGGAGAGGGAGGGGTGGAGAGAGAGAGGCTTAAAAGTTTAGAAAAGTGGTTTATATGTCCATCAACAGATGAAGGGATAGGGCTGATGAGGTGGCTCGGTGGTCTAAAGCACCTACTTAAAACAAGCTTAGCAAAGCACAGGGACCGCGGTTCAATCCCCCAGCACCACATGCCAGCCAGCCCCGCTCCCTGGTAGGCTGAGCTGGCCACACACACACATATAAATAAATAAAAAATTTTTTAAAAAAGATGAAGGAATAAAGAAAATGTGGCATGTGCGCATCATGGAGTACTGCTTAGCCTTAAAGAAGGATATATTTGAGCCATATGTAAGAAAATGGATACACCTGGCACCCATAATAAGTGAGATAAACCGAACACATAAGCATAAATGTTGCATGGATTCTCCTCTATGAGTAAGCCAACATATAAATGCAGAGCGAAGCAAAGACAGTGGCAAACAGATAGAACTTTTGCGGACGGGAAGGGGACCAAGAGATGGGGCAAGGAGGGGAGGAGCAGTAAAAGAGCTCAGCGGGTTGTGCACAGCCACCCCCTCCTCGCGATGTGTGCGCTCTTCACACACTACAAGCGTGTGCTAAGAAAGTGAAAAAGGGCTGGGGGAGTAACTGAGTGTGAAGGCCCTGGGTGGACGCCTCGGACTGCAACAACAAGGAAAGGATGAGAAAAGCAAGTGCTCCTCTCTGCAGCCCTGGCTAGAGTCTGGAAGGGAGTCTCCATGGCAACCATCCGGTCTTAACACCTTTCCTCTTCGCCAAGGGTCTTAACACCTTTCCTCTTCGCCAAGCGGGGGCAGTCGTGGGTGCAGGGTCCCCGGCCCCTCACGGCCTCAGGACTGAGCAGTCTGGCGCGTGCGTGTGTGCGTGCGTGTGTGCGGTGCAGGGGCTGGAGCCCAGGGCCTGTGCTTTATTTAGCCTGAGCTGTACCCACAGCCCCCTGCCCTTGTTTTGAGTTTCTTTTGTGATTGCTTATTTTACACAAAACAAAGAATATTAGTTTTTGAATTAAAATACAAATGCAAATTACCTTTAACTGCATTTATTTAAATGTTTTATAAGTGAGGCTATTTTTAAAAATTAAGTCAATTAAAAATATGTACTGGATAAATAACAGTTCCTTGATACCTGTTTATTTATTTATTTGTATTTTTTAGGGAAGAGTCTATAGGGTGTTCAGGGTCTCACTACTAGATCGGACTTGCAGTGATCCACTTGTGTAGAGCCTCCCAAGAGCTGGGTTTACAGGCACACATTGGCATGGCAGGCCCAGGGATCAAACCCTGGGCCTGTGTGCCTGCTTGCAGGTGCTTTAACCTGCTGAGCTATTTGGCCAGCCCTTTGGATACCTGTTTAAACAGTGCTTTTATTACCGTTGAAATATCCTAGTTAGCTTTTGTTTTCGTAACTGGTTAATGAAAAAAACTGTTTTGTTTTTTGTTTTTGAGACAGGGCCTTGCTGTGCGGTTCAGGCTAGGCTTGAACTCACTGTGCACCCGTCTGAGCTCCAACTTGCAGGGATCCTCCTGCCCTTGCCTCAGGAGGGCTGGGATTAGAGGTGTCACCACAACTTCCCAGTGTCTTCTTAGTTTTGATTGACATGTAATGATTGTGCGGATTTGTGGGGTACAGTGTGGTGTTCTGACACCTGTATATGCTGTGTAATTTTGAAATCGGCAATTAGCCTGTTGCTCAACATGTATCACTTTTGTGGTGACTACATTCAAAATCCTTGTAGCTGGGGTGGTGGTGCACACCTGTGATCTCAGCACTTGGGAGGCTGAGGCAGGAGGACCCACTGTGAGTTCAAATCCAGCCTGGATTACAGAGCAAGTTCCTATCTTTAAAAAAAAAAAAAAAAAGCCTCATTTCTCCAAACTGATAGACTTCGAAAAAGTTGATCAGAAGTGAAGGAAGCAAATCAGCCTAAATTTATTTAGTACCTACTAAATTATTTAGTACCTACTGTGTGCCAGCCCCCTGCATAAGTCACAGCTCCACTGGGTGCGGGTTGACAAGTTGGGGCAAAGTGCTCAGTTCCTTTGTCTCGATTTGACGTTTCCTTCATCTCAAAGTGAGAATTTAAAGCTGAACTTGGCAGTGCATGCCTATAATTTCAGCTGCTTGGGAGGCCAGGGTAGGAGAATCCCAAGTTGAAGACCAGCCTGGGCAACTTACAGAGGGTGTCCCTCAGCCTTCCCCTCCAGAGCGGGGATAACAGGTCTATCACGATCAGGTGGGGAGGGTGGGCCTTGGGAGCCAGGTCCCTTCTGGAAGGGCCTGGCACCTCCCCCTGCACCCTGGATGTCCCTGCACAGGTGTTGTGTTCCACTACCGCGCCGCGCGAGACCGATATGCCTTGACCTTCGCTGAGGCCCAGGAGGCCTGCAGGCTCAGCTCTGCCACCATCGCGGCCCCCCGGCACCTGCAGGCTGCCTTTGAGGACGGCTTTGACAACTGCGATGCAGGCTGGCTCTCTGACCGCACTGTCCGGTGAGGGGGTGCCCAGGGTGGGGAGATGGGCAGCAGCCCAGAGGGTGGAGGTTTCTGGAGGCATCAGGAGTACACATCTGAGGGGCCCCCTGTGCCGCTAGGTATCCCATCACCCAGTCCCGGCCTGGTTGCTATGGAGACCGCAGCAGCCTTCCAGGGGTGCGCAGCTATGGAAGGAGAGACCCCCAGGAGCTCTATGATGTGTATTGCTTTGCCCGCGAGCTGGAGGGTAAGTCTGGGGCTGGCAGGACGGGGCTACCATCTTCCCCTATCCCTGTCACTCTCCCCACTCCCATATGTCCTAAAGTTCCTTTTTTTTAAAAAAAAAATTATTTATTTATTTATTTAGTGTGTGTGTGTGTGTGTGTGTGTGTGTGTGGCCAGCTCAGCCCACCAGGGGGCGGGGCTGGCTGGCATGTGGTGCTGGGGATTGAA